TGATCAACATGTGTATAGCTAAGAGCGTTTTTCCGTCTGTATTGAAAACAGCGAAGGTCGTACCAATTTTTAAACAAGTTAAAAAGTAATCGTAAACGATTTACATAAAGCGCATTTCCACTTGCATTCATTTCCCATTTGTAAGATGCAACTTCTATTAAAATCGTAAAAATCCGGCCACAAATATGAAAGATAGCGTTGCACATGGGCAATCCATTTTTGACGTGCTACTTCAATTTCAGTTTATGAGAAGGAATTTCATTTCAATGCTTTTCTAAATAAGAAAGTTGGAACTGCGCATGCGCAAACCTAAATTTTAAAACTAATTTACTATAACTAACTAATAAACTAAGATTTTCCTTTGTTCCAAGCGCCTCAGTATCAAATTTCACTTAAATAGTTCCATAGATAAAAAAGTTGGCACGGCGCATGCGCAAAATAAAATTTTGAAATTGGCGTTTGATTTTCCTTTATCCCAAGTGCCTATGTATCAAATTTCGTTTAAATTCTTCCATAAATAAAAAAGTTGGGACTGCGCATGCGCAAAACCAAATTTTGAAATTGGCGTTTGATTTTCCTTTATCCCAAGTGCCTATGGATAAATTTCGTTTAAATTCTTCCATAAATAAAAAAGTTGGCACTGCGCATGCGCAAAACCAAATTTTGAAATTGGCGTTTGATTTTCCTTTATTTCAAGTGCCTATGTATCAAATTTCATTCAAATACTTTTATAAGTAAAAAAGTTTGCAATTCGGTTTATAAATGGTCGATATGCGAAAAGGGCACTGTGAATTTTGAATCGATTCGATCCAACTTTTGGCATTGCGTATTATATGGCTAAATCTATGCCCATATTGAATTTCATGCAATTCAATTCATAACTAACGGAGATGTAAAAGCGATAGCACATTTCTAAACAAAGTTATCGTTCACACGGACAGATAGATGGACAGACAGACAAAGGAACAGACGGAGAGACCAACCGGCAGGCGACAGATAGCAATCCAAAATTATAAACGATCTCTAGGATCGTTAATAAACGGCAAAAGTGTAAAATTATGGAACATGTAAAAAACGGTTTTTTGTTTTTTTTTACAATAACTTTTTTTGTAAGCGGTACAGAAAAAAATCCTTCCTTGGTACAAGACTCGACACCATAACGAACCAAATAGCGAAAAAAGTAGAACAATAGCTCTTAAGATAAAAAAACTAGTAGCGTCGCAAAGTTAGCGGACGGACGGACGGACGGACGGACGGACAAAGTGGCCACAATAGCGCATTTTTTTTTTATTTTTGTGGAAATGCGCTAAAAAGGCTCTGTCGCGGATCTGAATAACTACCGAGCCATCTCTATAACCTCCGTTTTCAGTAAAATCTTTGAATCCGTTTTAAAAATGCAAATTGAAGAATACTTTGAGAATAATCATTTGTATAGTGAGTGTCAATACGGTTTTCGTAAAGGAAAATCAACTACCTTAGCTTTAAGTCAATTAACGCGATTAGTATCCGACGGATTCGAAAGTAATGAATATGTACGAGTAACGTGTCTGGATTTTAGTAAGGCGTTCGATTGCGTGTCTCAAACGATTTTAGTGAGCAAACTTAGGCTTTACGGCTTTGACAACAGTAGTGCAAAATTAATACAGTCATTCCTAACGAACCGTCTACAATATGTGTCATATAACAATTGTCTGTCAACAATATCGGAAGTCAAACATGGTGTGCCACAAGGATCAGTTTTGGGGCCAATTTTATTTCTTATATAGGATCAGTTTTGGGGCCAATTTTATTTCTTATATATTGTTGTTGAGACCTAACCTTCACTTCTGGAATCCCACGATTTACCTCTAGCTAGCTCAGTTGTAAATAAAAGAAAACAAAATTTTTATCCGCATCTCAAGGTCCAGCTGGATTCTGCCACCCTATAGCATTCCAACAATGACATAAATAGGTGGCTTAACCAAATCCTTAAATTCCAATATGAAACTTTACCCCCAGATTTAATAAACTTGAAACAAAGTAAGAGACGCCGACAATTACCTCTCCTTGACTCTAATAAACCAAACCTGGATTGCAATTGACTGGTTTAATTTCAAACAAAAAATTGCGTAAATTTCTGTTTTACAAAATGTTACAATTTTAAACAGATAAATGACACACACAAAAAAAACAAATTACTCAAACATTACAAAAAAAAAACAAGACAAAACAAACCACTAACTACTACTTACTTTTAAAATTAGTCCGAAGTAACGTACTCCGATAAAAGAGGTATCCGTACACAATCACGTAAACCAACCACTTCAAACACCGACGTCTTCTCTTCGGGTACCCACAAATTCCTTGTTTCCAAAATAAAAAAAAAACAGGACGACGACAACTTCTTAAAACTTCTCAATAATTCTTCTTAAAACGGCAGACACAAAATTCTAATTAAACCTGGATCCAACTACGCAGGAAAACTTCCACAAAATTCAAAAAATAACGTAACCGAAGAAGCGCCGGTTGGCTTTGTAAACGACCAAAAAGCCCCGCTCTCTTCCAAAATTTTCTATTTAAGCCAAAAGCCCTTCTCCTTTCTTCAACATCCCGCCCGCCAATCACGCGAAGCGGTCGATTTTTCAACTTCTTGCTAAACGGCACGTACGCCCGGCAATTCTGCGAAGAACCTTATCTCTACTTCGCGCTATACCTCGTTAACGGCAAATAAAATTTAAAAAGAAATTTACATCGAAAAATTCTAGGAATAAAATAAAAACAGAACACTTCTAAGAAATTGAACCAAAACTATAACATGAAATTTACGCAATCCTGTGTCTCAAATTATTAATAACCCCCCCGGTTAATTAATTGAACTAAACAAAATTGTCACATCCAGACGCTCTATAATTTCTTTCAAGTTACAACTAAAACAAAATAAACACAACAATATATTAACGATCTTCCAAATTGTGATCCAAATACACGTCATATTATCTTTGCTGACGATACAACCCTAATTAATCTATATGACGATGTACAAAATATTGAACCCGGTACGAACTCAGCTGTAAGTAAGGTAGAAGAATGGCTCAAGTCAAATAAATTGCTAATGAATAAAGCTAAAATACAACATTTGGTATTAACCCTTAAACGAACCAAAGTATTAAGCGAACGCAGAGGGCTTGGATTATTGGGCGTAACACTTGATTCGGAGTTGAAGTGGGACCAACATGTTAACGTTCAGCGTGTTAAATTAACTAGAGCACTATTTTTGATTCGCAATTTAATAAGGGTGACTACGAAGGAAACTGTTATGGCAGAATACTATGGCATATTTCATTCGGTATTATCTTATGCAATTCTTGCATGGGGCCATTCTGCCCACTCTCGAGTATTATTTGGTTTGCAGCGCAAATGTATACGATTATTAAAAAACCTTAAATACAGAGATTGTTGTCGTCAGGGTTTTATCGAATTAAATATATTGACATTACCTTGCATTTACATACAGCAATGTTTAATATATACTAAAGAACACATGACTACTTACTAACTGTAAGCACGGATATTCATACTTACAATACAAGGAACAAAGAGAATCTTTATATACCGTTTCATACATTAAACAAGACCAAAGATGGCACTACATTTTACGGCATGAAATTTTTCAATGTCTTGCCAAAACAAATAAAATATTTAGATTTGCACGCATTTAAAAACTGTGTAAATAGTTACCTTAAACGAAAAGCTTTTTATTCTTATGAAGAATTTTTAAAAGATAAATTTGATAACATTTAAGTTTTAAAAGCAACAGTACCTTGTGTGATCATGTTCTCGTGTCCTTTGTCTTTTTTTTTTAATATTATGTAATTGTACCTGATGACGTGTGAAAATACTATTGTATAGATCACAAATAATAAAATGAAAAATGAAAAAATGAAAATAGTGGCGGTGCTGTAGCAAAAAAATGGAAGTTGCCGAAATGTTGTCCAACAGTGGTGGACCTCCATCAGTTAGACAGTCTACTTTTACTGCTCCTCCAGCAACAGCTTCCAGTTCCAATGCTGGTTTTATACAGCCTGAATTAGGTAACCCAGAAAATACTAATGTGTTGCAGCAAAATCTGCCCGGCATTTCAGTCAATGCAGGAGTAAATTCAACCGTTACAATTACTATTTACAATAATTACAACACCTCTTCATAATGTATAATTTTGTACAGTTAAGCAAGTTGTTTAGTTTAGTATACTTCTGTTTTATTCTTATTCCGCATTACTTATTTATTACTGACAACTGAGCGCAGTCACTTGATCAATCGTATTGACGTAGGTTGCTTAATAGTCCAGTCAAATTAGCTCTAAAAGTAGTATAAACTGGATGTTGTCATTTCACTGAACGAATCGGGACAATTATTGGAAAAGATTGTTTTACGGTTTCACTATGTATAAAAAAATTGGGAACACTCTTGTAGTCCCCCAGTTTGAAAGACAAAGCATCCCTTTTTCTACTTGTTTATTTAATTAATCAATGAGTATGAAACCTACGGTGATCTGGTTTGTCATATTGTTTTGTTATCAAAAGAAGTTACTAAATACGGATTCTCAAAAAGATCGGATGAATTTTACTTAATAAAAGTGTTAATTTTCGAGATTACTTTTTTTACATTTTTCCATAAATAACAATAACATTGACGTTTATTGAAAAACATTTCAAAAATATTTACTTGTATAATGTACGAGTATATCGAGAATTGATGTTAAGACTTAAAATTTACGTACTGTATCATATTCGTATAATTTAAGACATTTTGGCAAAGTCAATTCAAATTCAATAGACAATCACGTTTTCCAATTATTTTTCAATTACGAGTCACATGGGCCTGTGTAAATACTACAAAAGCAGTTAATTACATTTTAATTGTAAACATCTGTTATATCCGTGTTCATATTGATGAAAATACTTTTGCGAATAAATCCGTTGTACGGACTACGCAAATTAAAAATAGAAAGCGTATCATACCTGCAGCAACTATGGTTGATCCTCCAGCGGGAATTCCTAAAGACAAATTTATTTCTCCCCTCTCTTCAATGAAAGCGACCGTTCCCACAATTAAAAATGAAATACCACAAACGATCTGGAATTAAAAAGAAAAATTTTATTTCATATGCCTTCTTGAATAGGACTTGATTAAAGTTAATTACCTAATTGATAATTAATCTGCAACGGATTGCGGTTTCCCAATTACTTTCATTGCAGCTGTTGTTCAAATTAGCATGTTGTAAGTTGATAAGACAAAGAAAGGCAAACGATAGCTTAGATAGCTAATGTATACCTAATCTTACAATGGGATGAATATGTCAAGAAGTGGCAAACCGTTCGAATACCAAACAGTCTGCAAAGTCATTAACGACATTTACCCAGAAAGTTGAACATTCCCTCTAAATTAAATTTTCGGTGCACGCTTGAAACGAATTCTTATAATGCTTTTATCAAATATTCAAAGTATTCATCGATCAATCGGGACTTATTTAAGATATACGTTTAAAGCAAAATTTAATTAAACGAAATTTAATTACCTGCAGTACTCTAAAACGTAGAACGGTAGCGAAGGGATAATATTCCTCCAATAGGGTTTCCGCATTTTTATCCAAATCAGACGGTGCGACAGATTCTTTCAGTCGGGACAAACTAACCTGAAAGAATTGACTAGAATTACTAAGGCGTATATTAACGGCAATTCAGTGTAATGTGGCGCAATTTCTTTATTGCACGGGACTTTTAGAATGTAAAGTGGAAAACTTTTATCCTGCGATAAGTAAGCATTAAGCGCCCAGCAAACTTTGTGGGGCAGATAAATTTAAAAAGTGGTAGGTAGTCTACATTTAAGGCGAATAATTATTGAAGGTAAAACAAAAACAGCAATATGAATATTTAAATTGTAAATAAATTATAACATTAGTCGTAGTCTAATTAATAATGCATTTTAGGAGAGTAAATGAAATCGTGTAACCCTACTTACCGTAATTGATATTTCAAATTAATCTACAGAATGTGAGCAAATGTCACCCCAGGCATTCTAACAAGGTTTGTATTCCTAATCTTCGGGATGAGCTGAAATTTCAACCAAATTTACAAGATCGTACTTTATATGTTTACATATAAATATTTTCTTAAAATTTTGCCACACCCACTTATCTCCCTCTTTGGTAATATGAACCACATCCCCTTTTTTTCTAAAATCTAAGACAAAACTGTATAGATCAGATAAATACTATTCAAGATACAAGGTTGAAAAATCCTCTGACGTGATTGAAGATTGATTCTTCTGTGAGCTATGTTTATTACGTTCAAAGTTGACTAGTTTCCATGTATCTCGGATTTTGTTGTTGGATTTATTCAGAAAATTGTCATATGCAATGTTTTTTGCAGAGATTATAGCTCTGCGGTATTCCCTCTTATATGTCTTTAACTGACTATGGTTTTTATTTACTTCACAAATTGATTTTAAGGACCTGAGTTTACTTCGCATACATTTTAGTTCCTTGTTTAAACCAGTATACAGGATTTTTGTTGGCACCCCTACACTTATCACGTAGAGGAAAGTGAACAGTGTAATTTGATCTTTGGTGAACAGGAATTAATGACTGAAAATGACTAACCAAGTAATTCGCCATGGAAGTAGAATTGTTCATATCGGTGTCAACAATGCACAAGTTGACATTGAGTAAATCACTTTTAAAATTTTCAATGTTTTTACATGAATAAGTTCGTGTTGGGCGAGGTGTATTATTTGACGGAATTTGACTTTTAAAAGTTAAATACTGACCCCTGTGGTCTGATAAACAAGGCTCAATCACCTCACATTGAAAAGTGTTCTGAGTCAAATTCAAGATGATGTTATCAACGCATGTGGCAGTGCTCGCAGTGACTCTAGTGTAATCCACAATCGTAGTTTTTAAGCCCAAAGATACGGTGACAGACAACAAATCAGATAAGAGATTTAACAATAAAATTAACATTGAAGTCTCCTGCTAAGATAATGTAATTACACCTTTGCGAAAAGAAGGCCAAAACACTTTCTAATTTTTCTAAAAATATGTTAGAGTCACCTTTTGGTGATCTATATACAGTAACAATAACAATTTTTCTTATTGGAATTAAAACACCGCAAAACTCAGCATCCAGTTCTGCGCTGAATTGTTTTACACACAGATTCACATTCAATAGTCTTTACAAAAAATACAAACACCTTCATGGACTTGTTTAACTCTACAGTACTTAGACCCTAACTTATATCCAGGAATTTTTACAGAGTCTAGCTAGATTGTCTTCATTCAACCAGTGTTCGGAAAGGCAGAGAAAGTCGGTATCACATTCGTTTAAAAATAAGGACAGTTGTTCAAGTTTATTTGATAAACACTGTATATTAATGTGAAACAGATGCACATTGTTGTCATTTTTTGAAGTTTTGACGTTCGTGAGGCGCTTATTACCCGACCTTTTAGGAATGTAACCCTCACCACTACCCGGAAACCCGATGAACTTTACTTTATGTCTAAAACTTAATTCTAATTTTACCGTCGTTAGTAATGGGCAGCGGTCTTTCTTAATCCTAAAAAATTTCTTGTGTTACTGAAGGTGAAATTGTGTTCCTGTGAGCTCTTTACTGAACCGTTGATTACCACCGGAATATGTTCCACTATGGGACCCACCTTATCCATCCTTGTCAAGGAAATTTTTTGCACAAGGACCCTTGACAGCTTAATTTTAGCACGCCTGTTTAGATGAATGCCGCTCCGTACGAAATCCATTTTTAATAAAACTTGATTTACGTCCAGAAAGTAAAAGTTTTCTCTATTATAAGTGATACGTTGCAATAGGTTGTTAATCGCACTATAGTTATTTGTTTCATTAGTACAAAAAATGACAGTTTTCGGGACGAGGAAGATAGTTGCTGGACGACGCGTTAGCGGAGTCCAGCAACCTTCCGAGTCCCGAAAACGCATTTTTTGTACGAATAAAACATAAAATTTTTTCTCCAACCCCCTTTACTTCAAATTATATTCGAATTTAACCAATAGATTCAGTCACAGTTTCACTACTAGTATGAGAACTTCTGCTTTCTTGTCCTCACGTGTCATGCCACTCTAGTTTTTAGGTTAACTTATAACCTATTCGTTCTTACTTCTTACTTCTCACCTCTCGCGACTTTGTAGGGAGCAAATCTAAGGTAGCATGTTCTGCCGTTTCTATAATCTCTGGCGGAGTGCAATCCATGTCGCTATCAGTTTCAGTCATTTCTATTGTATACACAATTAATATTGTTATATTTTGTATTGAAATAAAAAACTTACCATACAGTTTTTTAATTAAAATTAATTGCAATTTTGAATTCAAAATGACAGATAATAGTGCAATGGGTCTAAAGTAGATGGCGTTACGCGCGACGGCAGGTTGTATACGTATAATAATTACGTGCACCGAATATGTAAATTACGTTACACATGGTTTAAATAAAAATAGCGAGCGTAAATCATTTTCAATACATGTACATACGTATAGGTAACAGCATTATTTGCATTGAATATGCAATATATTTGATTTGTATGTATAGAAATATCTTACAACCTGCAACGTAAAACCGTTGAGTGAAGGATTCACTCAACGGTAAAACTATGTCAATGTGACATATGTAATTTTTTAATTGGCCAACTTTCAAGGTCAATTTCTTTTTGGTACTAGGACCAAAAGTATCCACTTTTTGTACAGTTGCCATGGTGAAGGCGATTAATCCGCAAAACGTCAATTTTACGTACCGAACACTGTCACAAAATAGCGTCTTATTCAGGTGGTTGGAGAAAAATTTTTGTATTGTACCGAGGGTTAGTAAAATTGAATGGGATTGATACAAAAAACGTATTAATAGTTACATTAAGATTAAGTAGTTGAAGTAAATTATTATTTATATTTTGTAAGTTGAAGTTATGAGACATAACATCATTTGCACCGGCCATTATAACAATACAGTCAGTACCACTTGATTGCTTTGCTACACTTTCAAAGTTTTCGACAACACTAGAAAATTTTGCATGTCGCTGTAAAGTCGTTATTGGAATAATCGTTCAAAATTTCGCTTAAGCCTCGACCATGACTGTTTGCTAAAATGCAATGACGTGACCAGTAGTAGCACTCATTGCAAAGGATCCTATGTTCACGACATTTTGAGTATGCGTAAAAAAGAGAATTTGTAGACTTGTAGACGATAAATGACAAGTGTTTCTAATTTAAATACCTACCTACCACATCCATTTGGACGTATTAGAGCCCCTTCGTACCAGTCGTTTTTTGAAGCAGCTGGTAGCGTGACCCCTTCACACGGTGCGATTTGCAGCGCCACAAGTAGCACGAAGCGATTTTCAGAAGCGCCTTCACGCCATTAAAAAATGGTGTCTGGTTTGAGGAGAGTTGATTTACTTGTGCCTTAGTAAAGAGCGTACATATTTGTGTACTGATATTTTGTATATAAAGCTAAGTTTGTTATGTTTAAGATTGTTATTACTGATATCTGAGGGTTGTAGTTCGACCTTTGAAGGAAGGCGAAGCCGTATTAGGCTAAATACTTCATATTGTGTGGTAAAAACCATTGTAGCACGGTGTGGCAAATTCGAAAATTATAACAGAAATTGTACAGAAGAGACTTGTAATAAACTTCAGTTCTTACTTATCTGAGAAATTTCCGCATAACCGTATCTTTTTTTCGAAGACCCTCTGCGCAGCGTTTCAAAAACGCATCTTGAGAAGGAGCTCCTAGAATCTTACATAATATAAAATACAAATGAAAGTGGTGCCCAAATCGAAAAATCAAAGCATGCGGTGCGTCTGGGTCCGCCAGTGACGTCACTACACGCGGCGAAAAAATTCAGTGATCGAGCAATCCTTAATTATATAGCATCCTTGTGTATTAACAATAGATGTGGAAGTTTTAAACGTGACCAGTGCGATTAAAAGTGGGTACTTACAAAATTATGTTACCAACCAAACATATTATTGTGTTACCGACTGATGATATAAAAAAAAACTAATTTACAATATTAATTTTAACCTTTTCTACGCAATTCGTTACAACTCTTTCGGAAAGAATTTTTCCGCATTCCCACTAAATGCAGCACTCCCTACGGTCGTGCTGCAAACAAAGTGTGCGGAAAAATTAACTTACCGAACTTGTTAGGTAAATAACTATTACGGTTTTGTAAAACGGCAAATTAGTAAACAGATTTTTCCCTAAAAAAATATTTAAACTAATTAGGGGAGCTAGTATATACTTAGATTAAGGGCAAATTTTTCTACTAACGACAATAGCATGGAAATAAAAACACTTTTTGTTTGCCACATTTATATAAATAAATAATTTATGGGTAGCTCCATGTTTATTACGTTCTGAAATATAGTCGTCTGCCACTGCCATGCTTATTTGGCCACCAGGTATCATAAATCAAAAGGTCTTCTTTGACAAAATACACCCAAATAACGTGAAATTATATATAAATGAAAATGGAAAACTGGAGGAAAACTCAAAGTTTATTGTGGAAGGAAGGAAACAAAACGGATGAGTATCATTAAGCACACTCGACTATAAAGTTTTATGTAAAATTTTTATTATTCAAGGAATTGAGAGACTCTCCTGTTGTCTGACCTTTTATATAATGTGGTTAAATGCAGACCAAGTTTACTTGCGACG